AAAGGTGTTAATCATAACTAAAAAAGTTTCTATGTTTGGCAATAAAAAAAAAAAAAAAAAAAAAAAATACAAATATATGCTATAATAATGCATTTTTTGGCGCTGAACAAGTTTAATTAGAGCTCAAAGTCAGACTTTATTAGTATATTTTGAGTAATACAAAATATTCTATATTTTTATTAATAAAAATACAGAAAATTTATCATAAACTAAATTTTTACTAATAAAATATATATTTATATTTTAAATAAACTTGTTTAGCACCAAAAAATACATTATTATGGTATATATTTTCATTATCTTTTTTAATTTGTAAAGTGAAGATGTGTAAAATTGCATTTTTGATAAAAATTTATCAAATTTACTAATTTTTATTTAAAAATTTAAAACATTAAAGAAATATTTGCTGAAATAATGTATTTTTTCGCACTAAACAAGTTTACATAGAATCTAAAATTATACCTTATTAGTAAACTATATTTTTATTAATAAAAATATAAAAAATTCTTTATTGCTCATAATTTTACTAATGAATTATAACTTTAATTGATGATTCGCCACCTAACAGGTGCATGCTATTAGTGTAATATGATGCGGTTTACTATATAAATCTATTATAGTGTGAATATGGTGATCGCCCAAGTAAACCTTTTTTAAGTTAATTGATCTTGTTGATTAATAGAAAATTGTAGAGCTCATCTTTGCAGTTCTAATAGTGGTTAAATCATCCAAATCAGCCTAGTAGATACCGAGATATCTTTAAAAAACTTTCTTTTACTATGTAAACTTCTTTGCAAACAATAGTATTGTTTGTAAAAAGTTTATATAGTAAAAAAAAGTTTATTAAAGATATCTCAGCATCTACTAGGCCGATTTGGATGATTTAACCACCATTAGAACCGCAAAGATGAGCTATACAATTTTCAATTAATTAACAAGATCGATTAACTTAGTAAGAAAAAATTTTTACTTGGGCAATCACCACATTCGCACTATAATAGATTTAGATAGTAAACTGCATCGCATTACACTAATAGCATGCACCTGTTGAGTAGCGGATCATCAATTAAGCTTTAAGTAAATGTGTTCAACACCAAAAAATATATTATTTCGGCATATATTTTTTAAGTTTTTAAATTTTTAAATAAAAAAATTAGTAAAATTGGTAAATTTTTATCAAAAATGTAATTTTACACATCTTCATTTACAAATTAAAAAAAGTAGAGCAAATGTATACTACAATAATATATTTTTTGGTGCTTAATGAGTTTACTTAGAATGTAAAAGCATAGTCTATTAGTAAAAATTTAGTTTATATTAAAATTACTTTATTTTTATTAATAAAAATTTATCATAAACTAAATTTTTACCAATAATATATGCTTTTATGTTCTATGCAAACTTGTTTAGCACCAAAAAATATATTATTATAGTATATGTTTTCTCTACTTTTTTTAATTTGTAAATGAAGATATGTAAAATTGCATTTTTGATGAAAATTTACCAATTTTACTAATTTCTATTTAAAAAATTTAAAAACTTAAAGAAATATATGCCAAAATAATGTATTTTTTGGTGCTAAATACATTTACTTAAAGATTAAAGTTATAATAATTCATTAGTAAAATTATGAGTAATAAAGAATTGTCTATATTTTTATTAATAAAAATATAAATAATTCTATATTTCTCAACTGTTTAATAATAAAGCATAATTTCAGGTTCTAAGTAAAATTGTTTAGTGCAAAAAAATATATTATTATAGCATATAAAAATATCATATATAAGTTTATTAGAGACTCAAAGCAATAATTAATTAGTAAAACTCTATATTAATTTAAATGTAGTTTTTTTCAAATAGTTGAACTGTATACTAGACCTGGGTCTACTATATAGTTTAAAAATTGGTGGAATATAACAGATCTGAGTCTTGTATATGCTACTTATAGTAAGTGTTATCTGCATTTTTTATCAGGAGTCAAGATATTTATATAATCAATAAAATGACTAGTAATGTGATTGCAATGCTGTATTTGCTGTAATATAATGAATTATAGTATTTTTGCTGTAATTCATTATGTTTACAACAAATTATAGTAATGTGCTTCTACACTACTAGAAGTAACACATTCAAATAAGCTTTTTTAACTTTATATTATATTAGAGTTTGGCTTTATTTGAAATATATATATAATTATATTCTTATATTATATTAATAAAAATGTATCAAAAATATAATTAATATTATTGTATATATTAATAAAGTTGTTTTATAAAATTATAGAAGATAATTTTCTGTAGTGTAAGTTGGAAATTTTCTATTATAGAAACATTTTTACAAATTTAATTTTACCAAGATAAGTTCTTTTATCTGTAGGATAAAATTTTTCATGCTTTTCAGAATAAGGTAAAATTTTTTGTTGTTCAAATTTTTTAAATAACTTATTTTTAAAAATTCTAAATAGATTTTGATTTATCTGTTTAAAACCTATAGCAGCTTTTCTATATTTATATAAATAATCTAAATCATTCTATCCTTGATATGGTGTTTCATCATGATACATAGTAAAAAATATACTAAATTTAGAAGCTGTGGTTTTATACTTACCACACATTGAAAATAGACAAATTCTATAATCATGTAAATAATTTATATTTTCTTCAGTTAATTCTAAAATATCAGAATTAATATAGTTGTGCTGAAAATGGTTTTTAGGTATTTTTTTGATGCAATCTTTGATAAATAAATTCAACTAATCTATTCATTTCTTGATTAATATTATTATTAATATTGTAATTAGAATTATAACTAATTTCATCATCAGTATTAACAATATTATTATTATTGTCATTATCATTATTATTAATATTGCTATTATTATTATTAAAATTATCATTATTATCATTACTATTATCATCATCACTATCATCACTATCATCATCATTATTATTATCATCATTACTACTATTATTATTATTATTATTATCATTACTACTATTATTAGCATTATAATCAAATTCTATTGCATTATTAGCAAGTAATATATTGTCATCAATAATATTTTCTTCTTCAATATCAACTTTAGGAAAATTAAAAAATTGCTTAAAATTAGTTAAACTAATTATAATTCTACAACTTTTAAATCTAATTTGATCTACTGGTAACAAGACTATATTATGATTTTGAATAGTTTTAAAAAATTGCAATATTCCTATATTGTCTGAATCATTAATATCTGAAGTTCCAAAATACTTATATAAAAATGGAATTGAATTTATACTATGATTTATAGATCTCATTAATATGTATAAACAAGCTTTATAATTTGCTAATTTTGAACTAAAAGGTTTTTCTAAAGAACATTTATATGTATTTAAATAAACTTCTAATTGTTTAATTTTAAAATTGCATATAATTTTAGTTGGAATTATATAAAAAGGATTAGTTTATAAAAATAAAGATATATCATTTCTTTCTATTAAATTTTTTGCAAAAGACTCAGTATTATTATATGATATTCTATACTCTAACCTTGCACCAAAACTAATATTTTTATAATTATCTAATATTTGAATAGTAGTTTTGCATGTATCTAGTATTTTTGAAGAATTAAATACTACATTAATACCACTTAATTTTTGAAATAGTGTTGGTTGCGAAGCAGTAATTGGTTGTTTGTCTAGAGTATATGTTTGTATATAAAAAATCTCATATTTATCTTGAATAGTATTACTTGCTTCACCAGAACCACCAGCAAGATCATATATATGCATCCATTCATAAATATTTAAAGATTTGCTAATTTTTTTTATAAAATCTATAGAAGTTTTTCTATTCCAAAATACTAATGTAGATGGAAGGTTTGTAGAATTAAATTCAATTCTCAAATCAAATTTTGCTAAATTTTTTCAAAAATTATTTGTGTTTGAAAAGTTTTTTAGAATAAAATTTAAAGATTCTTCAAGTTTTAGTAAATTTTGAAATTTGGTTAAAAATTTTAAATTTTTAGTACAAATATGAAAAAAAATCTATCAAATTCTTTTAAATTAGGTTTTTGGCTAATAATATTTCTTATATTTTCAATTAAATCGTTCAAATATTCATTTGAAAGACTAAAACAATCATGAATATAAGAATTTTGTAATGACTTTTTAGTTAAAACTAAAAATGAATCAAAAGATACAGGATAATGATGTAAAACATTATTAGAACAAATTTGACTTAAAGCAGAATAAAATATTTCATCATACCAAAGTTTTAACTTATTGTTAGATAAAAAATTATGTTTTCTTTTAGGAAAATACATATTTGAAAAAAAGATTAATATTTTTAAAGAAGTGCAAAAAAATAGTTGAGCAAATAAAAAATGAGGAATTTTGAATAATTTTATTTTATCCATTTTATTATCTTGATTTTTTTTATTATCTTTATCCTCTTTATCATCTTAATTCTTATTATTATTTTGATTCTCATTATCATCTTGATCCTTTGTATCATCTTGATCATATTTATCATCATGATTAATTAAACTTTATTCAATATATTCATGATTATGCTTTAGTAAATTCCAAAATCGGTTTGGATAAATGAAAAAAGAAATAGGAGTAATAATAAAGTTTAAAGTAAAAATGGTAAGAAAAAAGGAATCTAAATCAAAATAATAAGAAATTCTATCTAATGAATTCATTTTGTATTCTTCAAAAGAAAGAAAAGGTAAAGAATTTTGATCTCCACATAATGCATTTTTAAGATTATTTAATCTAAAATTTGGTAAAGTAGCAGAGATTAAATAAGTATCTAAATAACTAGACAAATTAAATTCAGTATCTGTATTATTGTTTCTTGTATTAGGTGAATTGTCAAAACGAAAAGTAAAAAGATTTCTAAATGATTTAATCATAATATTATTACTAGTATTATTATCATTAGTATTATTATTATTAGTAGTATTATTACTAGTATTATTATCAGGAAATATTTCTGTATAATTATTAGATTCTAATTCATAATTAAATTCTACTAATTCAAAAAGCATTTGGTCAATTGAAGTTAAATGATTATTACTATCATCTAAAATAGTAGAGTCAGAAGAAGTACTTTACTGAAACTTAAAAAAAATTATATATGTTTTTATAATAAAATAATAATGTTTTTAATATATAATAAATATGT